AGCTCTCCTCTAAGTGGAGCCACTGCCCAGAGGAATGACAGTGGCTGAATTAGTTTTGCAGTGTGTTTTCCTGGAGCTCATGAATGGCAAAGCCAGAAATAATCTATGGGCTTTATTGTTGGGGTAAGAGAATGATTTACAAGGCCCTGGCAGAGGTCATCAGCCTTGGCTCTGATGGGAAATAAGAAATTGCTCAAAGCCTGTAATTCCAGAGAGTGATAAACACGGTAGTCACCTGAAACCATGGTTTCAGCTTGAGGTTCCAACTCGGCTTTGTGTCTGCCCACCAGTTCATTAATGTGTTTGCTTAACTTAATCAACATGGGGACCTGCTTCCTGATATGCTTCTAAAACAGTCTCCCCAACCCCCTCCTACAAAGGACTCTGGCATTTCTTAGGGACCAAGATCTCTTTGATTGTTCTGTGGTGACCTCATTTTAACTCAGGGTGTGCGGGATACCTTGTGACCAGAAAGGAGCAAGATGAGGACTGGGTGCCAACCACGGTGAGTGTGTGACCAACCGGAAATGAAACAATAGAAAGTGTGTTCTCAGAACTCCTGAAACTTGAAAACAGGTTAATGTTTATCACTTGTCCCAAACGGGATGACTTCTGAGCAGTGAAGAAAATAAACAGTTTTTTCCTCAAGAGCAGCCCAGGTGGTCACAGACCCCTGGGTATGAACCGCTTGAGTCTTCTTGCTTGTTTTGTTTTGAGACAGTGTTTTGCTGCTTGGTCAAGGCTGGCCTCAAAGTCTTCATCCTCCTGCCTCAGCCTTCTGAGTGCTGGGACTATAAACATGTGCTACCACATGAATCTTTTATTCCTAACTGTGGGGATCCAAATGTGTTAAGCTTGACTTACTCGTTCCAGCAGGAACCAAGCACATGTAGAAGAGGCTTTGTGGGTCCCTGTTATTCTGTCTGTGAAGGCCCTCCATAGTGTGGGTTTTGAAATGAAGACTTGGATAGAATGAAACTTTATTTTATTTTATTTTACTTTATTTTTTGGTTTTTCAAGACAGGGTTTCTCTGTGTAGCTTTGCGCCCTTCCTGGAACTCGCTTTGGAGACCAGGCTGGCCTCGAACTCACAGAGATCCGCCTGCCTCTGCCTCCCAAGTGCTAGAATGAAACTTTATAGAATTACATTCAGCTTTACTATCATTACTTACAAATGTCTCCAACAAGTGTTGGACCAGGCAGAAACAGTCACACAAAGGTCGAGTTGTGCAATAGGAAGCTGTAGTTTGCTCCAAAGTGATTGGATGGATTAGTCATTGCTCCAAAGTGATTGGATGGATTAGTCAGTTTTCCATCACCGTTACAAAACACTGAGGTAAACAGCTCAAAGGAGGAACGATGTAGCTGGACTCGTGGTTTCAGTATGTGATCATTGGTTCCTTTGTCCCTTGGCTAGGGGCTGGGGGGGGGGCGCAAATCATTACAGCAGGGAGCACATGGCAGAACCAAACTCCTGACCTTGTAGAGGCTGGGAATGGGGGCAGAGGGTATGTGGGGATGGGAGGGGAAAGACAGGGAGTCCAGGACCTCCTACCTTCAACGAGGTCCCATCATCTGAAGCTTACACTACCTCTCAATAACCCATGAATTTATAAATCTGTAAGTGGATTAACCTACTCAGGAAGTCAGACCTGAATGATTCAATCACCTCCCCAAAGTTCCACTTCTGAATACTTTGGGAAGCAAGTCTTTAACACAAGAGTTTGGGTGTAAATTTAAAATCCAAACTGTGGGGCTGGAGAGATGGTTCAGTAGTTAAGAGCATCTGCTGCTCTTTTAGAGGACCCAAGTTTAGTTCCCAGCCCCACATCTGGCAGCTCATAACCACCTATATCTCACTTTCTTCTTCCTTCATGGGCACCCCCACACACATGTGCACACACACACACACATGTGCGCGCACACACATAACAATGATGGTGATGATAAATCTAAAACAATTCCAAACTGTAACATTAGATAATTAGCTTTTTAAAAAGTTGTTTTGCTAAGAAGTGATGACAAAGTGTATTAGTTGGGGCTCTCCAAAGGAGCAGAACAGATAGAACAGATAGAATGGAAATATTTTAAAAGTCTTAGTCCAACAGTGGTCTTCACATGCCAGAGAGACTGAGAACCTGATAGCTGCGCTGACCATGAAACCAGATGCCTCACCAGCCGCACGCTGATGCTGAAAGCCTGGAGAGTTCCTGGAGAACTTCTAGACTTCAGTCCACGTTAGAGCCCAGAGACACTGGTTCCAATAACTACAGAGGGTCCGCAGTGGCAGCAACAGGTCGATGAGCGTGCCAGGAAGAGTGAAGGCCAGTCCAGAAAGAAGCCCAGTCTCTCGTGTTCCCTTCTCCCTGTCATTCACTTCTTTATGCCCAACAGTTGCCAAATTGTAGGGTTCAAAGGTTAACCAGGCCAGGAATTTACCCATTTTTCATGTGCTGCTTATCTGCTCCTTTTATTCTCCACATGGCTAGAAACACATTCAACTTAATCACTTCTTAAAATTCAGATTTAACCAAGATGGGTGTGGTGGGACTTACCTGTACTCTCAGCATCCAGGACATGGTAACAAGAGTTCAAGGCCAGCCTCCAAACATTGTGATTTTAAGAACATAATGGGCTGTGTGACTCCTCGGCTGTCCCCTGTGGCACAAAATTTAGATGTAACCAAGATCTATTGGGCTGAAGGGTAGCTCAATGATAGAGGGCTTATGTTGTATGTGTAAGGCCCTGGATTCAATCCCCAACACTGTGAAAGAAACAACCAGGGTGTGCCCTGATGGGGGCCACGTGATGATATGTGAGTCTACATGAGACACAGATTGACTCACGTCATCCTGCAAGCATCCATGTTCACCTGGCTGGGGGCATGAGATACATTTGCATGAATAGTATGCCGGTAAGAGACCGGAGAGGAAAAAATAGTGGTTAAAAATTATCTGTGACAGGCACCAGGAAAGAACACAGAAGAGAGAAAGTCAGAGTGTCCAAGTATACCCAAGATTCTTATGACACCACCATCCTGGAAAGAATGAGTCTGTGGCTCTGCCATACATTTTTGATCGTACAGAAAGCTTCCAAGCAACCATTGTAGCCTCTTTTCTCCCCACCATCCTCCCTTCATCACTCTTTCCTCCCCTCCATCTCCTAGTTGGACGGCTTCTATTCTCCAGTCTAGCAAGACTTTGGCTTTCTTGGTGTTTAAGCAATTTCTGCATTTCACTGAAGCCTCTGGCAGCAGCAATTGGGGAATACAGCAACAGCCCGAGGTGCTTGGCATGTAGCAACCCAACGATCCACTGACCGCTAACTAGTCTATGCTGAGATTTCCTGCCTTTAAGGATCTTGCCAAACCCAAGGCTTGTTGGGAAGGTTAAATGAGATAAGCATGTGGGAATCTATGACACACAGTCGGTGGACTCGCTCAGTCATGGAAGTTTGTGAATCTGAGCTCATAAGGGTCTTTTCTGCTACTGTTGAGATACGCCTGCCATTATCTATTTGGGCTGGGTGGATGTGTCCTTAGTCACCCATATGTAAGACTGTATACTGGAAAGTGGATATATTGCTAGTTGTGGAAGGCTGTCATCGAGTGCAGAACCCCATTTTTCCATTAGGACATAAGCTCTGAGATTGATTACATTGAGCTGATACTTCTGAATCCATCTAATTGCATCTATGGACGCCAGTCAGTTTTCCTCCCTAGTCTGGGTCCCATGATCCTTCAGGACACCTACATTTTCAAGAACCTAGCATTGCTACTCAGGACTCTGAGTGATGGAGCTGTAAGGAAGACCCGAAGATTTACTGTGAGCTGAGAGTTTTCTATGCAGCAATTCTGAGCTTGCCTATTTACCTCACTTACAAAGATGAATAAAGCAATTCCTGTCCATAAAGAAGACAAGGAAATAAAATATACAGACACATTTTCCAAAAGATGGAAAATTATTCCAAGTACATGACAAGTGGAAGTCAGGGCAATAAGAGCAACGAGAATTTAGAAAAGGTTAATGCTAAGGGGCGTGGTCATGGATGTTTTCAAAGGTGAAGGTGGGCAGATTTTAGACTCTAAAGGATGGGAAATGTCTGGGCTATGAGAGAGAAGAAAAGTAGACCATGTGCCAGGATTGTGAAGAAACCTAAAGACAGGAAAGAACCTCACGTGTGCCTAGAAGACAGTGAAAAACAGACATAAGCAAAGGCAAAAGCGTGTGTGCGTGCGTGCGTGCGTGCGTGCGTGCGTGCGTGCGTGCGGGCAGGCCTCTGCAGCTGGCATCACTGACTGACGTCTTGGCTAGCTTTTCATAGCAGCACACATTGGCGTCCTTATCCTTCTACATGTATGCACAGCATTCTATGGCTTGGACGACTCCCGCTCACTCATCTATCTCCCCTTGGGGACTGTTTAAGTTGCTGCCGGATTCTTGCTACTGGGAACGGCTGAAGGGAATCACTTTGGGCCTTCGGTTTGTTGGTCCATTTGTAGGAGAAACCTCTAGAATGACAATTACTGGACTAAACTACTTGCGTATTGCCAATTGTCACTGGTAGTACCAAATTGTCCTGTTGGTTACACTCCCATCTATATCATAGAAGAGTGCCTGTCTCCCTATCCCATGGCCAGCACAGCCTGCTGGCCAGTCTGGAACATTAAAATGCCTGTAGCTTTACTTGGCATTAATCTTATGGCTGAAATTATGTTTTCACACCTTCTGAATGCTATTTGTGATTCCTTTCTAACAAAGAGTAAACTCGTATCCTGCAGCCATTTTTCTCTGGGATTATCGGGAACTTTTATGTGAGAAACAGCCCTTCAGGGAAAGAGCTGTGAGACCTTCCCCCATTTGCCGTTTGTCTTTTGATTCTCATTTGGTTTATTGCATCAATGGTATTTTTTCCCCCTGTGTCACAAACCACCACAGAGAGCATTCACTTGAAACAATGGCCACTTGTTTGCTCACGATGGACTCGGCTGAGGCAATCCCTCCGTGTTCCACCAGGAGCCCTTGCCCTTTGCGGTCAGTGGAGAAGCCGGATGTAGCCAGCTACCTGGTAGCCCAGAAGCCTTCTCAGGGTGCTCGCAAGACAGTTAGAAAAAAAACTTTGGAAACAAGCAAAATACCAGCAAGTGAGACAGTACTGGTGTCCGTGTGTCCGTAGTCTCTGCATCGTCGTGTCTGCTGCTGACCCAGTGGCCACAGGAAGTGAAAGGTCTGCGGGTGGAGACTGGATGAGAAGACGACACAGGAGAGTAAGGAGAAGGGAATGTGAGGTCATCAGCCCACCCCCTAGAACCCAGCCCAAGTTCTTTTCCTTATTGATTCTCCTGAGATACTTTCTGTTTTTGTGTTATTTATCACTCTCTATGGTCTTGGGTTCTAGATTTTGAGCTGTATTTGGGAAGCCCTTCACCGTTCTAAGATTACAAAGGTAATTATCAGTTTTGTTTAGTCCTGTTGTAGATTCATAAACTACACTTTAAACTTTGACTCACGTGGAATTCACCCTTATGTTTGCTACACAGTTGCAGATTTATAATTTTTTTTTCTTGCAGTCCTGGGAATCAAGTCCAGGGTTTCCTCAACAAGGCTTTACTACTGAGGTACAGCCACAGAACTACCTTTACTAATTAAAGCTCAGTTTTTCTCTATTTGAAAAGGTTGTGACATTAGCCAGGATTGGCAAAGCCAGGGCCAAAAACAAACAACTGTTAAATTTCAGTGGCTTTGGCACAAAAGGTGTTTTCCATGCTCATGCTCCACACCTACCATGGGTGAGCACAAATTCCAGGCATCAGCTGTAACGCCAGGCTGAGGAGCCACCCCCACCTAAGAGAACAGTGAGTCTTGCACCCAGCGAGAGCAGTCAAACCCCAACAGTCTCCGACAGCTTCCTACCGGGAGCACATGTCCCGCCTACACACATTCCATTGGCTAGGAAGGCACAGGACCAATCTTGTCCATAGGTTGAGGAAGACTTCTCCTCCCTTGAGTGACAGCAACAGCTCCTGGCTCCCGGCAGTCTTTCTGTGGATGGGCAGATACACATGCTGACCTGAGGCCACTGAGGACCTGGTCTCCCCCACGAAGTCCCATGGTTATGAATGTCAGAACTATCTCAGCCTCTTATCCATCCTCTGGCCCCCACGTCTTAGATGCTGCTGAGAAAAGAGAATGGCCAAATAGACCGAGTCAAGGGCATGCAGGAAAGGAAGAAAAAGAGGGCCTCAGCGGGGGGCTGTAGAGTTTACTGGCTGCCTTGGAACTGACTCTGTAGACCAGGCTGGCCTTGAACTCGCAGAGATCCACCTGCCTCTGCCTCCCAAGTGCTGGGATTAAAGGCGTGCACCACCACCCTCCGGCCAAGGGCCTGTAAAGTTTTGTTCCAGCGTTTTGAGTTGTCACCTTGGGCTGCCATAACAAAATACCACATTCCGGGCAATTAAACAACATTTGTTTCTCAGAGTTTGAGGGCTGGAAGTCCAAGATTGAGGTGCCATCATGGTCGAGGTCAGATGGGGGACTATTCTGGGATAGAGACTGCTGACCTTTTGTGGTTTCTTCACATGGCAGAAGGAGGGAGCAAGAGTGATCCCTGGGGTTCCTTCTAGCAGGGCATTAATCTGACCCTAACACATCTCCCCAAACACCCCCCAATGCCCTGCAGGTTCAGCTTTCAGCGTATGGGGAGGGTGCTGGGGGTGTAGCTCAGTGCTGAACACTTCTAGAGCATATGAGGTTCTGGGTTCAACTCTCAGCTCTGCAAAGGGCTAACACAAAAAGATTTCATTTCAGCATGAGAGTTACGAGGACCAAAAAGATTTCAGCACCCACCAAAAGGATATATTGGAGCCTTGACACCCCCTCCCTCCTCAGGAGCCCAAAATGCGACCTTCTTTGGAAAGAGTCTCCTTACAGAAGTAACTGTGCTACAGTGAGGTCATCTGGATGGGTTATACACACAGGTGATAAGGGAGACATCCAGGCATAAGTGTCAAGAAGACAATGTGAAAGGAGGTATGGGGAAGACCACCTATAGGACAAGGACAGACTCTCGTCCCACAGCCCTCAGAATGAACAAACCTGCCAGTACCTTTGCACTTCAGACCCTGCACCCATAGATGTTAGTCCCTCGGCCTGCCTCTTTGTTACTGACTACCTCCATGGACCACAACAGCCACCTCCATCTACGTGGGGAGAGAAGCCTGCTGGCTGTTTTCACTGGCACCATCCCCACTCAGAGGAAAAGGGAACAGTGGCCAGTTAGCCATGTCTCCTAAGACGTGGCAGGGTGGCACTGAACTTGGAGTCGGCTGACCAGAGATTTCAACCAGTCTCCAATGTACTCCGCCTTAGTGAGTATTGCAAGGATTACATGAAACTGTGAACTGCTAAGCCTGTATGTAGGTGGGCTTCCAGGAGTCTATGTCTGGGGGCTTAGGCTGAAAGGGAAGACAGAGAAGGCATGGCCTCAGACACTCTTCTCCTCAGATGAAGTGATAGCTCCTTAAGTTTTTCAGGACTGTGGCTTGAAGCCAGGGCCTTGCACATGCTACGTGAGTGCTTTATCACTGGACTATATTTCAGTCTGACTCCTGAATATTGACTAAATATCAGCAACCCTTGCTGAACCCTTGGAGGCTTGCAGTGATAAAATTACAAGGTCTGCTCTTGCTAGTTCTGCTGAGCATTACGATCTTCCCTCTAAATATGCTTGACAATAATCGGTGGTGTGTTTCAAAAGAGTTAGTAGAGATAATCTTGAATCTTCCTCAACTCAAGGCAAGGACGTATGACTGAGATGATAGAAAGCCAGTGACTCTGATCTGACCAGTTAAACTGCACACATGTATTAAATGTCACTCTGTCCTCCATAAAATAGGTATAATTAATTACTATGTATCAACTACAAATAAAAATGCATTTAAAAATCTGACTCTGTTGGCAGAGGTGCAGGTGAGCTGGCCCCGAGGGTAGGAGAGTGGGATAGCTGGCCACACCCCCTGCCTGCCACGTGGTGGTGATGGCGAGGGAAATGTCCTCCCCCTACCTTGACCCTGCCACCTGTGGTGGGTGATGGAGCTGGCCCTCCCCCTTTCCGGCTGCAACACTCGGGAAAGTGGACCCTCACCTCGCCTGGGCAGCACAGTAGAGCTGACCCTGGTGGTGGAGGTGTGGGTGAGCCAGCCCAATGCTGTGAGCATGGGAGAGCTGTCCCCATTACTCATCTGTCATGGGGGCAGCATGGGTGAGGGAGAAACCCCCACCCCCACCCCCATTCCCCTGTCCATCAAGCCTGAGGCAGGCAGAAGAACTGGCCCTGAGGTCATAAGAGAGAGAGAGACCAATGATTCTTTGCGATGGAAACCTGCATGTAAAAATGTATAGATAAAGGGCTTTACTGAGTGACTCACTGTGTCACACTGCAGCTTCCAGGACAAGATTTCCCCTTCATCCTGCTTTCCCCTTTTTTCTCTCAAATTTTATTTTGTTTTATATTGGGGGAGGGGAGGGAGATGGGTGGGAGTGGGAGGCATGAAGTGAAAGGCACAAAGAATAAATAAAAAGAAAGTTAATAAAAGGGGGGGAGACGACAAAAAATACATTTACAAAAAAATCTCCTCTAGTAAACTATCTTAAAAAACAAAGCTTCGTGATGTAGTAGTCACTTCCCTGCTGCTGTGATAAAACATCGTGACCAAGGCAATCTATAGAAGAAAGAGTTCACTGGGGCTTTCGGTTCCAGAGGGCTAAGAGTCCCTGGTGGTGAGGAGGGACCGCAGCAGGAGCAGGAAGCTGAGAGCTGCCATCTTTAAATGCCGGCGGCTCGGCAGAGAGAGCAAACCGGAAGTGAGGTGTGCCTCTGTAATCTTCGTCCAGCAGGGCTGCTCTCCCTGAGCCTCCCCAAACAAGCAGAGAACCTACTCTGCAAACACCCCGGCCTGCGGGGAACGTTTCTCCTTCAAACCACCACACCTAGCTAACCACAGGGGGTTATTTTTAGAGCTGGTCTTGAATGATACCAGTACATAGAAGAGCGCCTGAAATCTTTCTGAAAAGGTCTGTCTGGCTCTGGCTTCAGACAGCTGAGGGTCCTGGTATGGTTCGTGTATTGAGAGTGAGTCCCCCTAAAGGTTTGCAAGTTGAAAGCTTGCTCATGTCCAACTTCACGGAGGGCTTAAAGCAGAGGAGAGTTCAGAGAGTGGACTCTGCTAGCCGCGAAGGCTTGGCTGGAGGAAGTCGGTCACTAGGCTGGTCTAGGGAGGGTCTATCATGCCTCGGCATCCCTGTCTTACAATCTTTCTCTTTCCTGGATGCCATGAGGTTAGCCCCTCTGGGCCAGCACATCTGAATGCCATGATATTGCACTTGCCTCAGGGTGGAAGCAGAGGACACAGCTGATCTTAGAGCCATGAAGACATGAACCAAAGTAGAGCCTTCCGATTTGACATGGTTCTTCTTGGCTGTTTGTCAGAAAGACAAAACCTAACTAACATGGTGCCTCTGTATTGCTTTCCTGCATCCAGATTCAATAACATTTTTTTTTCTTTTTTTAAAACTCTGCGGCATGCATAAGCATGGTTGTATATGGGCACACATGCATAACATTGTATTCGCATGCTTCCAGTTAGAAGCAGTTTTTCCATTTTTTTTGCTGCAGATGTTATGGTTGACTTAGTGTGTCCCAACAACACAGGAAGTAGCTCCAGAAAACTTCAGAGAGAAATGTGGAACAGAGTAAGGTAAAGAACAGCGTGTCTGTTACCTACTGCTTATGTAACAAACCACCCCCAAATGCAGTACCTCGAGACCACAGCCCTTTATTTGTTCACCATTATGTAATCCGGGCTGAGCTGGTTGATTCTTCTCACCCAAGGTTATCTGTGTGGCTGAAATCAGCTGCCTGGTCAGGTGAGGCTGTATTTCCAGGAGTCTCAGCTGGAATGGCTGATCACATTTCCCCCTTTTCACGTGGCAACAGAAGAGTGCTTGATGGCCAGACAGGACACCCCATCTGTGTCTGTCTATCTGTCTGCCCATGTTACAGAAGCTGAGCATCAGTGCGTGCCTGGATTGCTCAAAGGCACCAGTATAGGAAAGCATGTTCCTAGGGGCCCTTGGTGGGTGAATCCCCAACAGTTTTTCTGAGAAACTTTAGGCAATGTCCTAAGACTACGAAAGGTAAAGTTTATAGATAAGCTGGAAGTTTGATTTTAGAATTCAGGTTCAGGAACTTTGAAATCTGTGTTACTTTTGTTAGTATGATCCCATAGTGTACACATAAGCAAATAAGACCTAGGGAAACTCAAACCGGTTGGCTTTGAACAGCTCTCTCGTCTCTAGGGCTTAGTCTCTCCCGATTGTAAAACTCCTCACCAAGGTTATTTGTGGTAAGGGTCGTGTGAGCTCAGGGTCTTCTGTGAGAACGGTAGGAGCCTCACACAGGTGCGGATGCTCTTCCTGCCATGGCCAGGATCCACTGTTTCAGGAGACCTTAAGCCTGGTGCACAGGAAGACGTATGATACTCAGTGAGAAGTCTGAGGCCCAGCTCTGTAAATCACCTTAAAAATTCATGAGAGGACTTTTTTTCATTCCATATGCATTAAATTTGTCTCTGTCACTTTCTCCCCCTAAGATCAATAAAAAGGAAACTGATTTTATTTCAAAAAACCAATTATTTCTGCTTTCGCTTTTGTGCTCAAGCCTAAATGGCTCCTTCCTCTCCACGCAGCATGTTTCCTCCTGCCTCTAATGGTGTCAATCCAACTCAGCAGACAGCTCCGGGACGTGCTTGATGGATCACAGCCCAACCTGCTCCCTGTTCCCCATCCATCAAGCGTCACCAAGTCCTTTTTATGTCCGGGTGGGTGCTAGGACCTGGTGACAAAGAAAAGGATGGTTTTTTATCCTCCAGGAGCTCACAGACCAGCGACAAGACAGATGTAGAAACAGGAAACAGTGCCACGCTTGTGCACTTTGAAAGGAACAGATGTGTTTATTCAGCAAATATTTAACGATCGCTTGTTCTGTGCATGCCTCGAGTTAGTGTGAAATACAAAGAGGGTTAAGAGACCTCTTCTGTTTTTATGGTGTGACTGGTCGAGGAGGGAGACAAGTCAACAGTCACAACTCAGACAGAACCTCGGGAGTCAGCACCGGTGTCGCGTGGGAGCAGAGAGAACAGAACCTGCCAGGTAGAAGTGGTTGGGGAAGATTTCCCACAGTTTCGTATAAGCCAAGAAAAAGGCAGGGGGAGATTCCAGGGGGAGAGATATAGCCAGGTTGAGTGGCCTGGGAAAGTAGGACACGAGAGAGAAAGCAGTGCAGCATCCCTGGTCCACAGAGTGAGAAGGGGGCCAGGAGAGGGAAATCTGGAGAGCTGGGCAGAGGCCAGAGCCCAGGAGGAAGAAGATAGTTTCATTGGATCCGCGTTTTAGAAAGATCATTGCAGAAGCGGATCAAATGCCCCCTAGGGGCTGCCTCGGGGAATAATGGCACTTGTAACCTAAGTTTTTGTTTAATTCATGTTTATTTTCTTTCATATGTGTATGAGTACCCGAGTGTATGTATATGCACATGTGTGTGCGTGAACCCACAGACACCAGAGGAGGTCATTGGAACTGAAGTCACAGATGGTTGCGAGCCACCTCTCAAATAGCTCTGCAGAGGAAGACTGCAAAGATTTGAGACCCCAAGCCGAGGCGAGGGGGTGGGCTTCAGAAGACATGGAGCCTGTCAGCACATCATTCCCAGACTGAACGCCCAGCCTGCCGCACTTCATTCTGACCACCGTACCAAAGCCATCAAAGCGGAAGAGTCAGGAGATGGGTGGACACAGGGATTTATGGAGCAAGGGAAGAGGGAGGAAAGCGTGACGCTCAAGTTCCTGACTTGTGCGGCCCCATGCTGAGCCTCAAATACGGTGTTTGGAGACACAGGAAGCATTTGGTCTAGAGGAAAAGCTTGCTTCTGTCCATGCATGGCTGAGTGGAAACTCTGGAATTCCCCATCTCTGTTAAGAGAGCGCAGCCTTCCACCCTACGGTGAAGCCCCGGCAAGTCAGTAAGACTGAAAGGATAATATCTCTCCTTGTGCACATTCAAATTCCACAGAGTCCTCTTGGAAACCTTCTAATAAGCACCCGTGAGCCTCTGAAACTGTCCTTCCAGCAAACAGGGCACCATGGCTTTTAATAATGTCAAGTGGGGGACTGTATCACTCCTGCGACTCTCCCTGTGCATGCATGCCTTTCTCCTTCTGGATGTGAACCGGTTGTGTGACTTTTCTTTTTAATCTCCGTCAGCTTATTCCCTTGGCCTTGGCAATAGCACACAGGGCTGCTGTGTTCCGAGAGGTGTAACAAAGCAGACTGGCGAGGCTGCAGGCATAGATGAACCTGTCTGCTTGTGGTGTCTCTGAGGGAGAGCACAGTGGAGATGAGCAGCTGGCTGTGTGGGGGTTGGAGCTCAAGGGACGTGAGCCCAGGGTGTGGAATTGGGGATTCCAGATGCAGGGCAGCTGAAGCCGAGCAGTGGTGGAGGCCACTCTAGGGACATCGTGCTGTGTGAAGAGTGGGCAGAGAACTTAATCCCAGAGAAGCCCATTGCTTAGAGAGAGTGAAAGAAAATGACGGGGCATTAGCAGAGAGTCGCGGAGAACAGTGTCATGTCCCTCAAATGCTGGAGAGCGATCAAAGCTTCTGTCATTTTGTCTGTCTCTCTGTGTCTACACACACACACACACACACACACACACACACACACACACACACACACACACACACGCATTTCTTCATTGTGTTTACTGTTCCAGTTTCACAGCCAGAGCTGGAGTGATATCAGTTTGCTTCTCCAGAAATGGCAGAATCTGCA